CTGGATGATTTGAAATGAGCAAAAGAGCCTCTATTTATATGCTTGAGTTTCCCCAAAAAAGGAAATAACATTTATGCCAAAAAGTCATTATCTAATCGATTGAGGCTTTTTCTAATCAGTTAAATTTTGAAAATCAATCGTATATAAGCTTCCAATATGAAAAATAAGATATATATATATATATATATATATATATATATATATATATATATATATATATATATATATATATATATATATATATATATATATATATATATATATATATATATATATATATATATATATATATATATATATATATATATATATATATATATATATATATATATATATATATATATATATATCCATTGTATAGAATTTGGGTGCATTCAAATTGCCTTGCGCCTCAAGTTCACGTCAATCTAATCAGTTAGCATTTTTCTCCATCCAATTAAATAGAGTCAAAAATTCTTTTATAGCTTTTTTACTGCTCCCATCCTGTCCTATGCAACTTCTATATATTTTTCAAAGTATTTTATTTTGGTAAATCATTTGAGAAAAATGTTTTTTTGTATGTGTTCTTATAGTCGTGTACTTCTATGAAAAAATCCATTTGCGTTTACATAGTTTCACTCACTTACTAATTTAAGATATTTTCTCTAAGCCTTTGTTAGTTGTAATCTTTTTGCGTTGACACTTGCTTCAGATCTCTTAAGGCTTTTGATAGATTCCAGTTTGTTTGTCTTTATCTAATAGACATGTTTATCAAACCTTTATATTCATAGCTTGCATCTTTAACCGCTTAAGTGCGTTGTTTGACTTATCATTGGTTGCATCTTTATCATGATAGATGTCTCATTATTTTCTTTATAGTTCTCATCATCAAAAGATGTTGTCTTGATTAAAAGTCTAATACATGTAAAACAATGTTCCACATATGGATTATTCAAAAATCTAGAGGAGGTGAGTAGACATCCCTAATGAAAACCTTAGTTGAAAATCATTTTGAAAAACTTTTTTCAAAGTATTAAAATAAAATATTTGTGTGGCAGAAACAAATTTTGGCGTATAAAGAGGTTATGATTATCTGTTGGAATTTTCATAGAATGACTTAGATGGTACTCAAATCAATCAAGAAAAAATTATAGAATTTATCAAAATATACAAACCAAATTCAATGTATTGAATATATATCAAAACTACATAAGATGTGTATTTGTACTATATCGATACTATTGGATTCTACAATCATTGGTTTTCAGCTTAATCTTCTACTTGACAAACTTAAAGTGCAAATGGTTGCCCATCACAAATTTTGGTCTTCCAATATTATTTTCCACTAGTATTATCAAAACTAGCCACAATAACACCTACCTTGTGAACCTATGAAATCTTAACCAAATCTTCAAAGAAATGTTTAATTTAATAAATGAATATGCTCAACAAACATAAATATCCAAATATGAGATTTAGATCCATGTAACCATTGAAAAAGAATGACGTGGAAGATGAAAGGAATTGCTTGCAAGTGTTAAATAAAGATTCAAGGCTCTTTATAAAATATGATAGAACAAGTGGTTTGTGAGTTTTCAAATCAATATTTGAAGTGTATTTTTTATAACATTGTGAAGGTTGAGATAAAATGATATTTAAAGGTGATGGAGATCTAGCATAAAAATTAAAAAAATGGTGTATGATTCGAGTCAAAATCAATAGTTATGATTGTAATTAGAAAATCAAGTGATTTGAATCAAGAAGAAAAAATTATATCGCGTGATTTGAGTCATAAGATTTTTTATTAGAGTCACATGATTCAAATTAGATAAATTGGAGATTCAAATCAGAAATCTAGAAGTATCTAGGAGAATTTCCATTTCGGTTTATTCAATCCAAACAATATTATAATTTGAATCAAAGTGTTGTGATTCGAATCAGACATTCATGTGATTCGAGTCATGGAATAGGGAAATTCGTTCATGAGCCCTCATTGAGTCCGATTCAAGTCTACTAGTTGTGTGATTCAAATCACACATGAAGAATCTTTTTTTCACAATATTTCAAAGGATTTTAAGTTTCAACAATTGTCATGACTTGAATTATTTTCAATCATAGTTATTAATTCAAAAGCTTAACAGGTTAATTTCAATCATATTGCTTAAGGAAATCAAACACTTTGATTTATGCATGCTAAAAAATTGGATCTAAAAATAAATCTATAAATTTGCAATTGATGAGGAGACTGAATCACATAAAAACCAAAACCAACAAAAACCAAAAGCTTAAAAGGCAAGCAATCAAAACAATAACTCTTGAGGTATCAGAGACATGTAATTTTATAAATCTATCCATACATGTATGGAATTGATTAATTAGTGTTGCTAAACAATTAGGAAATTTATCTCACTACATATCAATTAAGGACTTGGTCCAATTGATTAAAGTAAGGAGAAAGACCTTCTAATCAATTAGGAAATCTATTAATCGATTAATCCATATAGTTGTTTTAGGATTTCTGTTTTTTAATAGGGTTGTTTCCTTTCGAAGCATTTTAATCAATTAAAACATGATTTAATCTATTAAATAGTTTAATTTGTCCCATAGATCATTTTTTAGCCAAATATTTTCTATAGAAAAGGAAGTTTCTAGTATTTTCATTTTACACTAGATTTTTAAATATAAACCTCTCTATTATTCTTCTACTCTATTTTTTTAGAAATTTATTTTTCATGAGAACTTTCGTAGTGCTTAAAAATTGAAAGGCCCTTCTGAGAGTTGTGTTGTAACTGGTGATATGCTTAATCTGTTATATTCAAGAATGTGATTCTCTTGTGTATTGTCTTTATAAATTACTTAAAGGTCAAAGTTAAACTTGATAAAAAGCTTGGGTGTTGGTTTATAAGTTAAACATGTGTAAAAGCTCTATTTACTGGTTCTTGAGGTAAGCATGTGTAAAAGTTATGTTCAAAAGGTTCTTGAGGTAAACATGTGTAAAATCTTTGTTTCTTAGTTCTTGAGCTAAGCTAGTCTAAAATCTCTATCTATTTGTTGCTGAAAGTTTGTGGCCTAATTTTGTAAAAACTCAAGTTTGATTTTTAGTGGAACTCTTAAAAGGAAGCTCTAGAGGTTAGGAGTAGGTCAAGTGGTTAGGGCGAACCTCTATAAAACTATGTTGCAATCTCTCTATCTATTATTTATTTATTTTTTGTTTTATATTTTATTTATTATGCATATATATCTTATTCTCCATATTCTTTCTATCTTTCCACCGTCTTATCTCTCTTTGTTTATCAAATCTAATATAATTTTTAAAGATAAAGTTTTTTATAAATTATTTTTTGCCTCTTCTTGTATTTGGACTCACTTGACCAACATAAATTTTTTCTTAATTTTTTACTACATAAATGAGCCTCACGCTCTATTGTAGTGACATATTAAAAATATTCAAAATGAGTTCAAAATGGCATCTGGTGCTCCTAAAGGAGCTTGGAACTGTTGGAATTCACGTGACAATGTCAGACCCAAATATAAAGGAGGAGGAGTAAGATGATCGTGAAATGTAGGAATTAGTTGAGAATATTGAATAATCGATTGAGAAATTAGGATCAGTTGAGAAATTGGGATCCATTGAGAAGTTGAGATTGGTCGAGAAATTATGATTGAATCTTGTAGACCTTAGTGTTCCAAGGTTTTCCATTGTCGAGAGAGAGAGAGAGAGAGAGAGAGAGAGAGAGAGAGAGAGAGAGAGAGAGAGAGAGAGAGAGAGAGATGTGGTGAAGTGTTATCTTGAAGAAAGTTAATTGTTAGGTGAATATTAGTAGCATCATTACGACCGCGAGTTGCTTTTGAATCGATTATCAGAGAAGGTAGGAAAATGGTGTTTACGAAACGGTTACGATTGTCAGAATGATATTAGAGTATGGCTCCAAAGGTGCAACGAAGGAGAGTGGAGAAATTCCAAGGTGAATTCTTAAGAATCAGAAAATGATTATTGTAGACAACATCATTATTCTATAATTAATCATGAATATGAGAAATATGCTAAACGAATACCATGTACAAGTTTCTGTTACAATGGTGCGGTTTTATGTATGCAAAAGATTAACACTGCAACACTAAAGTCTATTTTTGAATGAGGTGAAACATTGCAAGAGTGTGTAAAGAATCCCCGATCGTGACTCAGGTTCACGCTTATATAGAAGAGACACTTAGAAGCGTCTCTAATTTATACATTATAAAGTGTGGTCAACCGTTAGATATGATCAACGATTGAGATGAAGGAAGAGGTCATGCTCCTATGCGATGTTCAAAAGTGATGTTTTGTTTGAGCATGAGATTATAAATGCTCTTTGTTGGATTGAACTTACATATTGGGTCGCTCTTAATGGGCCTTTGTCCAACACAATTATGAAAATTTTAATTTTAAGTAGTACCTTGCTATAATAATGTAATAATTGTAAAAATTATACATATATCCAACTTAGTTGAAATATAAGTAATACCTTGTTATAATAATGTAATAATTGTAAAATTCATACATATATCCAACTTTAATGAATTTTTTTTTGTTGAACCGAAATATATGAACAACCCTATTACTATTAATTGATGTAAGAAATCAGTAACATTTATTTTAATAAACTTAAATTCATAATAAATTATAGTAACTTAACAATATTCATAAAAAAAGAAAAAAAGTTATCCTAAATTTCTCATCAATATTCAAGGCCAATCACTTTGTCAAACTCCTTAAGATTTTCTGGTGTAGATAGAAACTATGTTATTTTAGTTTTACACGTTTGTATGGTTAGAAACAATAATTCTTAACATCAACTAAAACTTAATCCATTTTCTCAACCAATGCTACGAAACAATGCAATATAAACCCCATGTTTTATTAGAACTTCCTTAAATAAATAAAAAACAGGTTGAATCAAATTAACCACTCCCAAAATTAAGCTACACAAATATCATATAAATACTAAATTGAATTAAAACAAACACAGAAAGCAAGAAAAATGATTTCAAAAACAAGAACCTTTATCATTAATGTTGCTATCATCATAGCAATTTTATATAAAACAAATATTGTATTATCAGATGACAACAGTCAAATTCCTGCAGATAGATCCCAAGTAGATTCATGGTTTAATAAGATTGTTGGTCCTTTAAGTCAAAGAAAAAGCACCCTTGAGCCTGCATTGGTGAGTGCAGAGGCTGCTCCTAAGGTTATTAAAGTAATGCAAGACGGTAGTGGGGAATTTAAAACAATCACGGCTGCCATCAACAGCATACCTACAGGAAACAACAAACGTGTGATTATTAAAATAGGTCCCGGAAACTATAAGGAGAAAATAAAAATTGAAAGGTCTAGACCTTTTATTACATTTTTAGGCAATCCAAAAAATATGCCTAATTTAACCTTTGATGGTACTGCGAAAAAATATGGCACAGTTGATAGTGCCACATTGATTGTCATGTCTGATTACTTTGTAGCAGCTAACATCGCAATATCGGTTTGTATCTATTCTTATTTTTTTTATTTTAAGGATTATTTTGGTTAAAATTCAAATTTCAGATTCTCACAAACATTTGACTCTTAATTTGTTGGTTTAGAATTCTGCGGCGAGACCTGATGCAAGAAGGTCAGGAGGTCAAGCTGTTGCATTGAGAACTTCCGGTGACAAATCAGCATTTTATAATTGCAAAATATATGGATTCCAGGATACTGTATGTGATGACAGAAATAATCATCTTTTTAAAGATTGCTTAATTCAAGGCACAGTAGATTACATATTCGGAAGTGGAAAGTCATTATATTTAAAAACTGAATTAAGAACGCTTGGAACTAAAGACGTGACAGTGATAGTAGCACAAGCAAGAAAAAGTCAATCAGAAGATTATATATACTCATTTGTGCATTGTGATTTAACTGGAACTGGAACTCGTACTTTTTTGGGTAGAGCATGGTTGTCTCATGCCAAAGTTGCATTTGCTTACTCAACTATGACCAAAGTTATTCACCCAGAAGGATGGTGTAACAACTTGCATTCTGAATATAACAAGTAACTCCCTAGTTCAACTTTATGTAGTTACTTATAGAGATATTGTATGATTTAACTAACATAAAATATTAATTTTATCCACAGAACTTTATTCTTTGGAGAATATAAGAACACTGGACCAGGTGCAGATATCAAAAAACGTGTAAAATTCACAAAACAATTATCTGATGGAGAAGCTAAACCTTTCATTACACTTGGAATCATTCAAGGATCTAGATGGCTGCTTCCTCCTCCAAATTTCTAATTTCTTTCCCACATAAATGTGGTTGTGCCCCATATTTTTTTGAGTGGCGAATTTGTAAAATATAATCCAACTAGTATAACACCAAATTCAAGTTTTGGTACATGTAAATATTAGTCAAACTTTACACATGGTTGCATCTAGCATGAAGACTCTAGTAATGTAAAACTTTACTTATAAACATTTGAATATTTTTATGGATAATTATCCTCATTTTCATTTCAAATTTAATTTATTGATAAATATATAAATATGTATGGATTGTACACCACCAACTTTACTGTTTAATATCTTATTTCTATAAAAACGTGAAATATTAAAGTTTGAAAAAATTATACTATTTTGTCCAAAAAAATTTTAAAAACAGAAAATTTAAGCAATTTTTCATAGGGATAAGTTTTTTGGTATATGACTTATGTAAACAATTATAATCATCTTCATTTAAAAGATATAAAAATTAAAATTTAACTAATTTAATTAATAATGAATAGACGTATCATGTATGAAATATACACTCCATGTACTTCTTTATTTTTGTTTTGAAAATAAAGGTGAAGATAATTAAGTGTGAACAATGTATGTATAATAATTGTTATTGGAAAATATTAAAAACACACTTACGTTTAATAAATTTTTAATGACATATATTGATTTAATGTATGATTTTTTTCTTAAATTATAATAGATATTTATAAATATTATTATTTTTAATTCTAAAATATTTAAAAAGTAATTTATTGAAATATTACACCCCAATAGTACTCTAATGACTTGCTCACCCATGAAGAAAAAAAAATGAAAAGATATTAAATTGTGGAAAAATTATCATATCTTTATCATGATTGATAATTTTTTGTTAGATTTTAATTGATATGCATTATTAATGTAAAAAAATTTACATGATTCAATTGCATTAATTAAAAAAATTAAAATTAAAATCAAATATTTTAAACCAATCAACGGTTATAGTGTAAATTCTTTTTTAAGTGATAATCATTTATATAATTAGTTTTGAAAAACAGCATTAAAATAATGAAGTATAAAAAAATTTGTATCTATTTCTGCCATATTTTTTGTTGTGTAAGTGATATGATTTTCTTTTAATATTTTATAGGAGTTAATTTTAGAAGTAAAAAATAATAAAACTGAATCATTAATTTATTTTTAAAAATTATTAAATAGATGAATTGAAAAGACTAACAATTATATTTTATTTGTCTTTTTAATGTATTTTTTTTTTGTTTTTATGTTAATTAATTTTGTTTGTGTGATGCACGCATCAAAAAGTTTTTTTTGTTACGACGGAATTTTAGAAAAAATGTTTTAAATATGTGATTTCTTATATAAAAGAATCAATGTCTAATTTATTGTAATAAGTGATAAAAACATTAGAATTAATTTAAATTAAAAATTAAAAACATGTTCTAATAGTTGGAGGAGATATTAGGAGCATTAATATATGTAGGACTAGAAATCTTTGTGACAGACACACCACTTGTTCACCTAAAATCTTAAGGTAATAGGTGAGTGGGTTCTTCCACTTATATATTCTTAAGTCTCCACATTCCTATCCAATGTGAGATACTAGAAACAATGTAAGTGTCATAAAAGAAAGTGATAGAAAGTCCACTCGCTCAAGAAATCAGCCTAAAAAGATGCAAGATTATATTACCTATTAAAATGTTTCCATTAATATATTTTTCTTGTTTTATTGTTTTATTGTTTTATTGTTCTGGGCTTTCCTTATTTTAGCGTTTGTTGTATTATCTTGATTCATTAAGATTTTATTGTGATTCAATAGAAATAAAATCTTGAGTTTGTATTTATAGTCTCTAATGCTTCTTGAAAGAGATAGAGAAAAATTTCAGAATTTTCATTTGTTCTTGTTTTCATGTTTTGTGTTTGCTCAAATGGTTAATCCTAGATTCGGTAACAATTGTTAAACCCTTTTTATCATTTGGTGTTTTCATTCCTTATTCTCATGGCTCCTCCTAACCCTACCAATCCCTCTAGTGTTATGCATTCTGCATCTTCATCAGGTATTACTAAACAACCTATATCTAACCCTTTACACACAACAACTTTGCCCCATGTCATTACCCCAACTCATACACCTACTAGACACTCTACCCATTTTTCCCAACAGTTGCATCTCAAAATTTACCCTCCTATCTTGATTTTATCTGGCTTAGACTTTTGCATTCATCTGTATATATTTCATTAGCATACATGTATCCATAAAGCACTTTAGTTCAAAAAGATCATCAATATTAAAGTTTTACAGTATTTGAGGTGTACACGTCCCATAAAGTCTGATTTCTCAGATTTCATCTGTAAATAGTTGACTATGAGGATGGCATATTATTCAAGGGCTATTCTCCATTTAATTTCATCAATGTCAGAGGCTATTAGAGTTTATTACCCTATGTGTGATCAAAGATTCAAGTTGGTCCAAAGTTGTTTGCTCTCAAAGTCAGTATTTCAGAGTTCAAGTTCATAAGTTCACAGCTTCTTCATTATTTAATATTTTTGAGAGACTCTTTGAGCATATGAATCTCCTTGACATCCTTTCCAATTTCTCTTTTCAAGTCAAGAGTTGATTATGTGTAGAAGATCATCAAAAGTCTGAATACTTTAGAGGTCATTTTGTGATTTTTGGCTTAATTCTAGAAGATTGTTGCCCAACTTACAAAGATCGTGACTTCCTCAATTTTTAGTATTTTTAGACTACTCTTTTTGCACAGTATCACAAATGAGATTCTCTACAAGTTTTCTTTCAAGAATCGATCTCAGATCATGCTCAGAAAGTCGTGAAATCACTTGAAACGTTATAATCCATTTTTATGGTTGTTTCTCAATTCATCTGATTTACAATTTATATCTGATTTAATTCTGATTCAAGTCTGTACCAATTTCAGGTTAAAAGTTCCATTCTTTTTATTTTCTTTTAATATTTTAGTTTTATCTCTTTTATTCAAACATCCAAAATAATATATATAATCATTTTCTTTTCTATTTTAAATATTAGTTTTTGTCAATATTAGTTTTTGGTTTAGATTTTTAATAGTAATTTAATTTGAAATATTATCTTTTAGATTGAATTACTATTTAAATCATATCATTTTTTATATAAACCTTTTTAAGCCTTTTAAATTAAAATTTAATTGTTTCTATTTTTAATATCACTAATTTTTCTTTTTTTTTCCTTTTAATAGAATTATTATTATTCGGTTGTTATTGCTTTTATGACCCGAAAATAGAAAAATAGAAAAAAGAAGAAAGATTGCAAATTGGAGTGGGTCCATACAAAGAAAAATCACGGTTCCTACACGGAAAATATAGTCACGATTCATGCATCAAATTTCAAAACTTCCAAACAAAACTAATGCATTCAATCAATCTCAGCCATCCATTCAAGTGCTATCAAAGGCTCGAAACTCGCAAAGAAAAGGCCACAGATTTCACATTTCAACTCATCCCAAAATTCATTCAAACTTTAATCTCACCATCCATTTCATTCCAATCTAAGGCCCATAAATCACTAACCAACATCACACAGATCACTCCCAAAAGCTCCCTCCAATTTCAAATTTTCAACTAAAAAATTCCCTCTCAATGATCAAATCTTCCCTCTCTTTTCACACCAAATTGTCATTACTTCACCTCTTTAAACACTTGATCATAATAGAATAAGAGGGGAAGAAAAATTTAGAAGAGAAGAAATTGTTGTAAAAAAGTTTCAAGTCTTCCCCCATCAAGAGCTTCAATAATCTGCAGAATTCCAACAACATAACCTCAAGTTTCCATATTTCCATAATTGAAATTCCAAGCAGAAGAATTAGAAGAATTTAAATATGAGCTTATATACCTGGATGCTATATTCATTCTTTGGATTTTTATTCTCTTGAATCTTCATCATCAAAATTCAACAAACACCAGAAAAATCCTCCTTTCCGATGGTAGGCGGTTTTTCTAATATTTATACTTTTAATTTTCTTGCCGATATTCTGTGTTGTCGTTGAATTGTTGTGTTGTTTAAACCATGTGAAATTTTGTTGTTATTACTGCACATGAAAATCATGAGAACGTATCATTGTTGTTGTTGTTGTTTGCTCGGTTGAGAAGAAGAACTGATGACGAATCCGAGAGTGAGATGTTGTTTTTGTCGAAACAGACAGATTTCTAGAGGGAGTATTATCGCATGAAATCTTGATGGAGGGAGTATACAAATCAGAGAGGGATGGAGGCCGAGAAAGAAAAAAAAATGTTGTTATCTGATCTTACCGGTTGATCAAAACCTGCAAGATGGCCAAATGACGATCTTTTGTCGGGCTGGAAGGTCGAGGAGGAAAAAATGGGGGTTGTATCTGCAAGGCACTTCGACGATCAAGTAAGTGTGAGAACGAAGAGATACAAGAAAAAGTATTAGGGTTTTAGTGGTGAATAGTCAATATTCGATACCCGACCCTCAGATTTATGAGGGTATATATAATTCCCCTGGCTCCTGGCCATTGGTTCTTATTTTTGGGCCTAGATATGCAGACCCATGAAAATAGGTAACTACTAGGACTTGGTCATACTGAGCAGGTGTACCTGTAGCTAATCGGTCTGGTCGATTCCTAGTTGTCTGGCTGACTTGATGTCGGGCAGACTGAGAAATGATTGTTAATCACTGTGGGTCGGTGCCTGTCCAAGAGGACAAACAATCGCTGACGCTCGATGGTGGATAGGGAATATTCAGGTCATATTCGTATGGGCCGCGCCAAAGAGGGAGTCTAGACTGGGCCCACTTTGGATGTCGGGACAGTCCAGAACAGTAGCCCCTCAAGTTGTTGCTTCTGGGCACGGGAGTGACGATTTTAACGCCTACTCGTGAAACAGAGTGCTTCTTATGGTCAGCATGATGTCGTACCCCAAAATTTCCCTACCTCGATGGTTATATTTTCAAGATTAAAATAAGAAGATGATTTATTAATGGTCCAATAATATCTGATGGCCCATTT